AAAGAGTGTTGTACTTCTCTGCAATATATTTAAAAGGTGTCAATACGAAGCCGCTCAGGGGAGGGTATATTAATATTAAAAAGAGGAATTCCAAATTGCTTTGACCAAGGGTGGGTTTTGTCCATTATGTGTATTATGAATCCTCAGCACAAAGCTAAAAAAAACCAAAGACACCCCACCGGGATGGATAACTTCATAGCTAAAGCAGTGTGGTTTGTGAATCTATTGGCTGGTAGCTGTTGCTCCGGCTCTTTAGGCAAGGGTTGTAGGACTGTTATGCCCCTCCTCATCCCTTTTCTTCCATGCCTTGATTTCACCCAGTAAGCTCTATGCTACTCTATATAACCACAAAGTTTCAATGCTGAGATACGTCTGCAGAGTATGTTACGTTAACAGCTATCGTAATTATAAAGAAATGTTTTAGCCGTTGCCAGATTCTCTCTGGTCAGTGCCTTAAATAGTTGGTTTTTTTTTGTAGAGGCCAATTTTAGTCTTACAGCCAAGCAAGTACATAGACGAAAAGGTACTGAGCATTGTCTGGTTCCAGTAGCATCAGAAATAGCAGGTCTCTCCCCAGAGCGATTGCTGTTCGTGATCTGAAGACAGCTGTCTGTATCCTGGCTGGTTTGCACCCTTTTCTTGGTTGAATTTTATGAGAATCTGATTTGAAACACAGCACTTAATGTGATGCTCAGCTATTGTAAATAATTTTACCTGTATTTGTCTAAAGTTAGTTTCTGTCTTTACCCCATCATGGAATTTTTGGGATCATCTAAGGATCTGGAAAGAGTAATGTATACCTTCTGCACATTATTTCTTAAGGCTTTTTAAATCTTATTTTGAACTCTTCATCCCATTTTGAATAACTTCCATACAAATTTTTAAAATTCAATTTCTCTGTGTTTGTCTGAAGTGTAGTGTCTTTCAGTAGTGTCTTTTCAGAGAGATGTTGATGTTAATGAGCTAATGTATTTTTGAGAGGTAAGGATTTGGGGAAAAGGGAATTTTTCTTTTACTTCCCTTTAGGAGCCCAAACCATGAGCCCTGTCCTCCTCTGATTGATAGGCTTTGAGTTTGTCTATTTCCCTGATGCTGATTTCAGAGATGTTTCCAGATTTGATGTAGAATTACTGGGAAATGCGATGTAATTAATCCTTTGCCCTCTCTTTTCCAGACGATGCATTCAGATTGTGCACAAGCTGCTGTGCTACCAGAAGAAATGCAGAGTGAGGCTTCATTACACCTGGAGGGAGCTCTGGTCAGGTACTTTGCATCTGTAGAGACAGTCAAATATGAAAAGCCCAGAGTGAGTGGCTGTTTGGTGGCCGTGACTGCTTGTTCCATTGCTACAGGGTTAAACAGCAAGCAGCAATTCTGTTAAAGCATCTTTACTTTGCTTCTTAGTTGCTACATGCAAATTACCTCTTTTGGAAAGCCAGGTCATTATCATAATGGTAGCTAATTTACTTTCTTGTCTGGCCATGATCACCATGGTATCCAAATGTCTTTGTTTTTCTGTTTCATTACCTGAGTCCCTCTTCATCTGATTGGAGAAATGGAATAACGTTTTATGCGGTAGTGTTTCTCTCAGATATTTGTGAGTATAGAGGAGGTAGGCTCTTGGGTAAAGGGAGGTGGACCTTACTTTTCCCTTTTGCTGTAAGAGATGGATACACATAGAATAGTGTGTGCAGCTCCTTCTGAAGAGAGCAACCTAGAAATGTCAGTGGGAGGGAGGGAGGGAGGGAGGGACAGGCTTTTTACTCTGACCTTTGCTATGATGGTAGATAGTCTGGTTCATGCCACTGGTATCCCAAGATAGATAATGGGGTTTGACTCATAAGCTAGTGGACATAGCTTTGCAGGACTGTTTTGTGATGCAGTCATGTGGGAGGTATGAGGAAGTGGGATAGCAGAATGGATGAGACCTAACTGGCTTCTTTTGTGGATATGGTATGTGCTTCTCTTCTTATCTTGCAAGCAGTGAAGTAGCTCCCCTAGGAAAGTAGTTAATTCCCTGGCTGTTGTGGCTTAAACAAGAGGTTAATGAAAAATCAAGGGAATGTGGCCCTAATTGTGTATTCCTGGAGCTGTGCTTGAGACCTAGGATCAGCAACTTGGCTGGTGTAATGCAACTCCCATCAGGAATTTGAGAGAGGATGACTTTTGAAAAAAGTGGTGATGAGTGGCTTATGAAGCTGTTCTCAATTAATATTGAGTACTTCCCTTCAGTAGCTTTGTACAGCTGAGTATGGGTACACAGAAACAAACCAACAATCTGAGTCACTTTCAGTTATTAAATTTTTGCCTTGTGTGACATGTGGCCCATTCAGACTTTCTAAATTATTCTTGTAGAAGGTGAAGTGGGTGCCCCTAATTAAAGGATTAGCAATTTATTTTCAGTTGTTTTCTTCAGAACAGAGCCCCTAGAGGCATGGCTGCAGTGTAGTGCCGGTTCAGGAGAAGAACATGTACAATGTGGATGTCTATTGTGAATATAAATTGCATCTGACAGTGTGTGTGGTGTCCTCTCAGCAGTTACCAGTGAACCAGATACATTCCTATTTGGCCAGGCTGAGCTGGGTCTTTCCGGCGCACTGGTGGTATGGAAGTCTCAAATATAATGCCTTTTGCTTGAAGGTACTGTTCCACGGTTCAGAAAGCACACTCTTAGGCTTTCAATCCTTAACTTTCCCTATTTTAGGGCGAAAAAATTAAAAATTCTTGCTACACACTGAGATTTAGTATCTCGGGATATTCTTTTTAGCTGTCTCTAATTAGCTGGTGTTTGTATAGCGCCTCGGAAACACAAAGTGCCTCAGAAGTATGAAGTACTGCACATGCTTCAAAAGCAAAGCAGTAAGGTAAAAAGCACTCGGATTGGTCAGGTTTGTGTGAAGGATCCGAAAAGTCTGCGCACCTGACGTAGCTGGAAGGCTCCGTGCTTGCTATAGTTTCCGCATGTTTAGGGAGATCCTCTCATGTGGGAGTAAATTACAGTAAGAATGTTTAAAACTTTTTTCTTATAGGATGTTGAGGTGAACAGAGAGATTGTTTGGTAGCTGCTAGGTGATTCATACAGGCTGGAAGGCCCTGGGTGGAATGGTACGGGCACCTGTAAAAGGGCACATCCTGGCTGCTCCAGATGTGTACTTCTGGAGTGCTTTATGTGGCAGACTAAATGCTAATTGCAAGCCCCATCTTGAGATATATTTCATCATTAACTCTTATCCCTGTCAAGGCTGCTCTTTGATTACCCAGAATGCTGCTGCCTTTGATATGAAAGAATGGCTATTTTTCTGGTCATGATCTATCTGACAGATGATTCCAAACCAGAGCACAGTGACTTCAGAATTCATTTCTATCCTTTATGTGAGCATATTCCCCTTTGGGTTTTTATTTTGGCTTGAAGAATTAGATATCGCTGCTGGATGAACAGCTAAAAGAGAGCAACTATTCACTGTAAGGTCTGAGATCTCAGGTTGCCACATCAGGCATGCTTTACAGAAGGTCTTCAAGCCCACACTTGTCTTTTTGAATGACAAGATGTGTGATGACTGAAGCAGTGCCCTGGTTGTGCAGTGTGGATAATAGCAGTGGAAGCCCCCCAACAGAGCTGAGTGGAACAAAGAAGCTAGAAGGAATTGGTGTAAGGAAGCATTGCAAGAAAGGGAGCAATTTCTACCTGGCACGTAAAAGGAGGAGAGTTGTTTCAGTTCCCCCATTGAGTGGGAGAAGAAGACAAAGGGAATACTGTGGGGTAGGCAGTCGGTATAGGGTGTGGAGGAAGTGAGATAAAGGTTGTAGGTGGAAGCAGTAGCAATGTATGGAGCCTTCTCTTTGCTTGCTGGTTCTAATGTTAGCTAGTCTCTAATTAAGGAAAGCCACTTGTGTGTCATCTGATAGATAGATGTTCTTCCTCTGTGGGTGCTTTGTCTTCAGTATGGAAGGCCAGCAGTGCTTTGATAAAGTTTCTTTTTGATTTTGAGTTGCAGTGATTGCAGAGAAAAGCAGTGGAGACAGATGTTTAGCATCTCAGGACACATGTCACACTGTTTGTGCAGTCTTTAATGCTTCATAGTTTTTTGGACACGCCACTATGTGGCACAGGGCTTACGTAGGATCGTACTTCCTTTTTCAGCATCTGAGCTTGAGGAAGAGCAATATTGTTACCAAGTCTTTGGTTGTGATCCAGCCTGAGCTTCCCTGAGATTAATTATTTCATGTTAAGTCAAGGGGCCAGGACCATGGCACTTAGTACAGTAAAGCCTCTAGTTGTGCTGACCAGATAACTGAGAGTGTTTAGCCGACAGAGTGATGCGGGGGTTTGAGAACTGGAAGCACGACTGACAGAAAGGAAGATCTGTAGGTGGCAAAAGTAGTATGTATAAGCTGGCTTAAGCTAAAAGTAGCGTGAAAATAAATATCAGCTCACTTGTGAAGCTAGGTTCTGGAATATCCTCAAAAGAGTGCTGGAGGGTGAAAAGCAATTGTAATTGATTAGCCTATGAAAATGACTACTAAGTGCAGTTACTGATAGGAGGACCAGACATTCAGATCCAGAGATGTCTGTTGATCTTGGTTCCTCTTTAATGGACCTTTCAGCAGATTATTAGCTTCAGCTCAGTCATCTGTGGTTAGTATGTGGCTCTACCCTTTGAGCACTGAAGAAAATTTGCGGATTTTTCTGATTTTTCTTCTGTGACAGTGTACCGTTACTGGTGACTAGTCTGGAAATTTGACTAAGGTCAGAAACCGTAAGTGGATATGATCGTGTTGACCTATTCCCATACAGACATTTTGGCCTATTGGAAGTCTCCTGGACTGTTATGCCAGGTACCTTACACTTTTTAAATACTGATTTATTTAATGTCAAGTGTAAGGGACTTTATAGAGTTGATAAGGAAATATTACTAGGTAACAGCCAGTTCCCTGCTCTCAGAAATAGCATGTTATACCAAATGTTTTGCTTAAGTTCTGCTCCTTGTCATGTGAAAATGAGGTTGATTTTGCTGGTCATAAAGGCAGGATTTGGGCTTTAATTGTTGAACTCTGCTGGTTTGTACGGCACTTGAGTGATGGAAGGTGCTATATGTGTTGTTGTCAAGCATGTATAAGCTATGTCAAAAGAGTTTTCATGAGTCATTTAAGCTTTTTATATAAAAAAATCTCATTTCTTCAACTCCTCCCACCTCAAAATTAGTAATGCTTGAGCAACTCACTCTGAGCTTAAGGGGTGCAGGTAACTTCTTTGCAGTTGCTATGGTTTGCTTTAAGCAAAAGCCATGTTTAAAGAAACAGAAAAGCAATTCTAATGGAGCCTTGTAATAGCAAGTGTAGATCATAAAAAATCTTAAATATAATAATGAATAATGGTGAAATAGCCATTTGTTAGGACAAATGAATGCAAAGTAGGATTAAAAATGAGCTTTGCCATTAGTAAGTGTTGAAGATCAGTTTCCAAATTATTGTAGCATAAGGGCTACCCTCTCTTGTTGCTTAGTTAATTTGATAGATGCTGAATGCACTGTTAGAATGAAGGTGCTTCAAATGTGTAGCACTATCAAGAAGCTAATTTTTCTCCATTTTTGTTTTAGGATTATCAAAGCAGACTTTTGCAGTGCTACTGGACAAAATACACTGTTTTCCTTTTCGTAGACTCCTTAGATCTCTTTGCCAGTTTCTGTATTTATAACATGAGGTTAATATTGCTTTCAGAATCTTTTTACGTGAATGCTAAGTAGGTGAAAGGTTCCTCTGTGGAACATTTTAAAATAAAGAAGCAATATTTTTGGGGGGAGAAAACCCCCCACTTTCGGTATGTATAACACGCTTGTGCTTATACACTGCATGTTTAAAGTGGTATTGTTTAGTCACTTGTACTTTGCTTTATATTTCTGTGGCTAAAATATTGATTACTGATAATATTTGTTACCTATGGCATTTTTGGTTCTCCGACTGTGGATCAGGTCTGCTTCAGTCCTTTGATTTGTGTTGCAGAACAGATTGGAAATCAGGTGATGCTGTTTCCCTTTCATCTCTAATCCCGCTGTCGCTGTCACATTCTGCAGCAGCTACCTGGCAAGGGAAGCTTGTCGTCTTGCAGCTCTTGTGGAGGCAGGATTCATATACTGGTGTACCAGACAGTCTAGTTCACTGGTAAAATTCCCCGTCATTAGATGCCATGAGAATATGAAAGCTGCTTGGCCAACTAGCAAATGACTTAAAGATTTTAGAGAAAAGAATTAAAGACCTGAAATTTA